TTCACAAGTCCACAGATCAATTGACAATCGCTTGAGACTGAGAATGCTCTCTGTCCCGTTTCCCTATTGCCGGTGTCACTCGGTTAAATTGGTTGTGTCATCATGTCTTCAATCACAGTCACACCTCACAACGTCAAGTCTCCATGGGGAGAAGTTTCCCTGAATTCGGGCAAGGAAGCACTCAATGTGAAGCACTGCAACCAACGGAGGATTCAATATCCCTGTTGCTACCAACCCCGGACTGCTCGATAATTGCAAGGGTACACGGCGAACACGAACGCGACGCCAAACGCCCCTCCAATTTTGCAGCTTAATGTGTGTGCTCCAGAGGTACTACTGTTGACTCAGACATCCGATATCAACGTTGCAGAAAGAGGAGATCTTGCTACCTGTTGTATATGGCCGTGTGACTATCTCGACAGAGGCCGAGTCCGGTGTGACCCACTCGTTCGCACCTTCAAGCATGCGAGCACTTAATCACCTGCCAAGGATACCGTCATTCTCAGCGAAAAGATGATCCGAATGCGTTGAATTGGCTTTGCAAGCTGCTTAGGCTGTGGATGTCAGACTTGACTCTTCCGTGCATGTAGGAAGATTCATTACCTACACAGTCTGAATTCTCATGAGAACCTGGTCACGAAGGCGAGTTACTAGACAGAACGCACGGCGTTCGGGCGGGTACCAGATACTGGAGATGAAGGCCAATTGAGGTATACATCTCAGCGAATCACTTTAATATTATCTATACAAAGGGAAGAACAATATGGCTTGCCTGGTCTCCTCCCAAGTGTAGGCTATGCCGACCCTTATTCAGAGTATGATTCTTCCCGAAATTACTCACGGCAAAGCTCTGTCCGCTAACGACAACCCGCAGACTCTCGCCGGCCTCGTATTCAACCCCGAGCGCCCAAATTCCAATGTCCAGCCTGACCACCTCGCCAGGCGTGATCTTCTCCTCCTTCTCGTGCGGGTGGAACGGCCAGTGTGGGTGCATGCTCCTGGTCTCATCGATGGCTCGATGAGAAGCTCGGAGGATGCCCACGGGGCCCTTGTACAGCACGACTTCCGTCTCTTGCTCCGGCTTGAATTCCTGGAACGAGTTCACGGGTATGCCCTTCCATGGAATGTTGAGGTTCTTCATCTGCTTCCCATCCTTGTCGAGCTTCTGGATCATAACGTACACGTCCATGTCGTCGTGATCTGGGCAAGACATGTACATCACGGCTTTGGGTAGGCCCATGATGTTGGTAGTTTCAGTAAAAGTATGAGTAAAGCTGACGTTCCCGCCAGACTCGGAGTCGTAGCTGACCGTCGTCTTCGTCTCTGGTGCAGTAGTGGAGATGAGCGTCTCTTCCGTGCCAAGAAAGAACTCCTTGTACTGCGTTCGCGCCGGCGGGAAATCCTCCTCCACGATATTCTCAATCGCCTGGGGAGTTTTCTCGCCAAACCGCAGCAGAGACATCCTCACCTTGGGCGTCTTTTCCCATCCGTTGTCGACGCCCTTGAGGTACCGGTCAAAGAACGCAAACAACTCATTCTTGGCCTCAGAGTTTCCCCAAAGGTCAAACCACTCCTGCCACGGATGCCATCTCAACCACTTTTCCTTCGACTGCACCTCCAACCAGGCTCGGATGGCACCCATACCGTGCATCGTGTTCGTCCACGTGCCCGTGATATACGTTGGCACGTTAATCCGCTTCATATCTGGCCTCTTGTCGTTCCACCAGGCATTAGCAAGCGGGTGCCGCGCGTACATCTCGCGAAAGCTTTCGATCCCCCCGCGGCCTTTCAGCATGTGCTTAATGATGAGCTCGTCAAACAAGTCGCCAGCGTACACGCCTCCCCGCGCGAACTGCTCGCGGTACAAGTCTCCGCACCCTTCCCACGGCGCAATGGCCTTCAAGGCCGGCGGTCGCAGCGCCGCGATGAACCACTGCGCGATGGCGAGGTGCGAGTTTCCTGCGAGTCCGACGCTGCCGCTGCACCAGGACATCGCCGCCACGGCCCCGATGGCATCATACCCGTCCTCGGCTTCTTGGCCGCCCATGATGACCATTGGCGTGTTCTCGTCGCCGCTGTCAAAGGCACCGCGCGTGTCGATGTTGACGATGGCGTAGCCGCGCGGAACCCAGTCCGCCGGGTCAGGCGCCTCGAACTTTTCCAGGCCGGAGAGCGTGCCAGACGGGATGCCGAGGTTCCATGGCGTCATGTAGCCCAGCGACGTGAGACCGTTGAACTTCTTGCCAAAGGGTGACCAGCATATTAGCGCAGGTACTTTCTCTGTGGTGTTTGGCGGGCGGAGGACGTCTGCGTATAGTGTCGTTCCGTCTCTGACTTTGATGGCGACGTCGTGCTCCAATAAGATGGCGGAGGGCAACGGGCGCGCGTCTGGATGGGGGTGTTTCCAGCCCGCGGGTAGGGTCTCTGTGTGTGGGTTGAGGCCATCGTAGCCATCGCGACCGGCTGTTGGCGCATTCAGCGGCTCGATTGGGACCTCAAGGCCGGAGAACCTGGAAGACGGCATTGTGACAAGGGCTTCTTTCTCTTTGCTAATTCGTGTCTAAGTCGGAAAGCGGTTTACTACCTTGCATCCAAAGAGACCGATAACCTCCAGTTGCGCAAGTCCCGGTCTACTTGTACAAAGGCCATCTTCAAAGACTTCATGACTTCGGTTTGTACAAGCTTCGATTGCGTCTAACCCCTCCTCTCCCGGCCCTCCGCGGTAATGAAAGGAGGAAGTTGCTGTTCCGGCGGCCCATGGGGGTGGGGTGGAAGTGTCGTCCAAGTCGGGAAGAAAAGAGGCCCGCCAACTCCCGAACCGAGCGACCTACATTGTACCAGGCTACCAGCCGATTCCGAACCGAAGCATTCCCCCTCGACTGTACTGTGCTAGTGTAGAGAACATCCCCCACCACTCTTCCGCCCCGTACCGATGGGATTCAGCTAGACTATTCCGAGAGACTAGGAGTAGCTTTCGGCAGGATAGCGGAACATGCTGTAGAGTTGTTGCATCTGCCCGAGCCCAAGGTCCTAGTCTATGAACTTGCGGCTCGGTGGGCAGGAAGTGTCTTGTTCGGTTGAATATTTGGGATCATCAAACATTCATATTGCCTATAAACACAATGATTCATTCCGTTCAATAGACACGAGTAATATCTAGAAACAAATCAGTTCTACTGAGGCATTAAATTTCACACCATACTTACTCAACATATCCTTTAGCCATGGTCATCGCAACCGACTTCGCAAAGCCTTTGGCGACCATCCCAGTCCCAGAGGGAAAGAAGGTTGTCAAAAATGCATCAGCCACGGCTCCCTTGAAGCCTCAGCCGGCAGGCCCTAACAGACTCTTCTCCCAAGAAGGTGCCGTCTTTGGAGACTTCCGCGATGATCTGCTCCGCGATGGCTTTGTCGTAGTCAAGGGCGCCATTCCCCGCGAAAGAGCAGACGCCTACGGCGAGGAAATGTTGTCCTACCTCGAGAACTTGTAAGTGCCTTATCTCTTACCACAACACTCTCTCGCCTAATCGCCCTCTAACATTTACAAACAGCGCCGGCGGTCTCGGCTTCAACCGCAACGACCCCTCCACCGTCAAAGAATCCAACCTCCCCATCATCACCGAAAAGGGAATGTGCCTAGGCTACGGCGTAGCCCACGAGTCCTTCACCTGGGCCGTCCGCCAAGAACCAGGCCTCGTCGACGCCTTTGAAAAAGTCTACGACACACCCGACCTCATCGTCTCCTTCGACGCCGTCAACATGGCCTTCCCCAACCGGCCCGACGTCAAACCTAACAACCCCTGGCCGCACCAGGACCAGGACCCGGAGAAGCCCGGGTTCCGCTGCCTCCAGGGCCTCGTGAACCTCCTCCCCAACGGGGACCGCGACGGCGGGCTGATCGTCTGCAAGGGCGCGCACCTGCTCTCGGAGGAGTTCCACGAGGCGTTCCACGGGGAGGAGGATAAGATTTGGGCGTGGACGAAGGAGTGGTATGGGTTCACTGACAAGGGGATGCAGTGGTTGAAGGACCGCGGGTGCGAATGGATCAAGGTCAACGCGGAGCCTGGGGATTTGCTGTTGTGGGATAGCCGGACGCCGCATTATAACCTCAGTCCCGAGGGGACGTCGCCGCGGTTCTGCGTGTATACTTGTTACATGCCGGTTGCTGAGGCTACGCAGGAGGACTTGTTGCGGAAGAAGGGTGCGTTTGAAGAGTTGAAGAGCACGACGCACTGGCCTAATGCGATGCACGTTGGCGGCATTCCCGTGTTGAGGGATGGGGAGCCGTGTCCGTATAATACAGGCAAGCCGAGGAGTGTGCCGAAGCTTTCGGAGAGAGGGTTCAAGCTGACTGGTATTCCGTATATCCAGGGAGTTCCTATTGATGCTTTGGGGGAGTAAGTCTGAGCTTTATGAGAATTAGGCAGATTTCTGTAGAGGATTATGTTTAGGCTGAGCCATCAAATTGTCCGCCTTCAAAGTTTCAAGTAAAGTATCAACCGTTTAGTCTCAATTTATTCATACCTACTGTTTGGCTTTTATTTTACAGTGACTATTTGAATTCAAGATACGTGTGATTTCGCCGCGAATTGATTACGAAACCTTTGATACTAATCCACCAAACAGTACAAACCAAGAGATCTGGAACAAGAGATCGTTTGATGGAGACATAGGCTTTCCCGTGCTTGAGAACTGCCTGTGGCAACATCGCAAAAAGGCACCTATGAGGTTTTGCGAGAAGATCACACCTCCATAGCTCTCCAATCTTCATCAACGCCGATCCTACTGAGGAGGTTTGGATTATAAACAGAAGAAACTACAACACGAATTTCATGAGAGCTGGTTCAGAATAACATACGATACGTGCTACATCCCATAGGAGGTTCGTTGATCAGCATACGATGAAGGGCGTACTCCAAGCTATCAGTTCAAATTCAAGTAGTATGCTTGAAACCACTGGTAACGCGATTCAGAGCTTACCTGTCTGTTTAAACTACGAAACACTCACTATACATCTCGGAAATCTCCAATCAGATTTACTGACTTCTCTCGTTCAATTACTCGAAGCAATCTCTGGCCAGGTTTTCTTCGTAGCCCACATCCTAGTACGCGACCCAAAGAGATATACCGGAACAGTAATAACTCCTAAAACACCAGCAATAATAGCGAAGATGTTCATGGCGCCCTGATATCCAATTAGATTGATCAGCGGAACCGTGGAGTAGCTGAGGCCAAACGAGATGAAGCCGCGTCCTGCACACAGGACCAAGAGAAGCGGCCCGGCCTTGCTTGGAAAGCTATCAATGGCGTAGGTGATGCCGACGAGGTTCGCTCCTAGGAAAGCAAAGTATCCGAGGTTGTAAGGGGCCACAATGGTCATCCAGTGCCAGCGGTCCGGATGTGCGCCTGCCTGTCCGAAGAAGACGCAGGATATGATGGCTGATAGAATGGGCACGCTCAGGATGATGAGTCTGTACTCAGGCTGCGAAGACGAGTTAGCATCGGCTCGACATATACATTGGGAAAACTTCAAGAGGTCACTCACCTGGAAAATTCCGCCCTGCCAAGTACTCATGGCCCGCACCAGCAGATCAGATCCGTAGCCTAGAAGAGGTACCAGGATAACACAGTCGAGGACTTGAACCAGCTGGACATATCCCAGCCAGTCGTATTTGAATGTGTACGGAGGCGCCATCAGGATGATCGCAAAGGTTGAGGCTTGGTAGACGTAGATACCCAAGAAGGCACCGTTGAGTAACAACATCCAGACGATGTTTGGTAGCCAGAGGGATTGCATCGTCTCCTTGTAAAAGATGACTGTCTGCTTCCACTCGGGCTTAAAGTGGAAGATTCTTAGATTATGGCGCCAGGTTCGGGGCCCAAAGACTTCAGGTTGCAGCACGTGGTTTTGTCGTGTTAGGACTTGGATGATCATCTCGTTGTCGCCGTTTTTGTTGACGTTGCCTTCGTCGTCTATCTTGAGATGGACAGCGCCCCCTACAGCGAAATCGTGTTAGTATGTGTGTCCACTATGAGCACGCACCAGCTGACTGGGGTCCCCAAGATACGGGCGGAACTTACTGTCTGCGTCTACTGGCCGATCATATTGGTTTCTACCGCAAAGAAGAAAGCTAAGACCAGGATGGCGGCGTTGATGAAGGTGATGATCAGGTACCACCACTTAAGTCCCACTGAAGGGACGATGTAAGCCGTCGCAACGAACATCGCTGCCGTCCCTACAGTTTGAACACCGATGAACCAAGACAGCTTGGCGCTCCTCTCGTGGAGAAAATGAATTTCTTCAATTATGAAGGGGGCAAGTGCTTCACTCTGGCCAGCAGCAATGCTGTAAAAGTTGCGACCTGCGATATGGCTGCTCAAGGACGTCGAGAAGGCGCACCATAAACCGGACAAGACCAGCAGAACCAGTGACATGAGAAACACGGGTCGTCTTCCAATGGTCACGCAGAGCGGCATGGAGAAGAGGTTTCCAACCCCCATAAACAGCGTCGGGTATGTGAGAAGGTCTGTGGCTCGCGTGGCATCTTCGAGGGGATACTCCTTCAGCACGGAGGGGAACACTGCGCCGAGTCCGGATGTGACGAGGACAGCGATGGCGGAGTATGAGCCGACAATCAAGATAATAAGGTACTTGTGCCATGTCGGAAGGTTGAGAGGGTCTATCTCCCACAGTCAGCATTAGACATGTCTACCTTCGCAGCGTTGGTCCTTGAGCAAGATATGAGGCTTGGTAGCCTTACCTTTGGGGTTAGGACTAGGAGTGGGAATCAAGACAACTGAACCGCCTTGAAGTAGCTGCACGGTTCCGTATGCCTGGTCCTCCTGCGCAGTGACCTTTGTGGCCGATCCCTCGATGGTATCGACATGAGGTTCATCATCTTTGGTGCCAGGCATGATCGGCAAGGCAGGCAGAAATACTTCCAGCAACTTATAAGGCGGTCGGCAATTTGGCGTGAGGCGGGCAGGAAAGTTGATGGGACGTTGAAAACTGTCGCAGCACAGACCAAAGCAGCAAACTCAAAGTCGTGATGCCGGCGATGGCCGGTTGGAGAGGTTCCATGCTTCCAACTATATACGAACTGATGTCTGAGCGATTGCTTTCGCTTCAAGATCTTTTGGTGTTGACTGTCTATATTCCTACTAGCCATTTCAATTGAGTCTATTGAGTCTCATCAAGTTACAGGAGTGTAGTATGTCTTGTGGTCCAATCAAAGCTAGACCATTATCAGAGAATAGCTTCATTGGGCTGTCGGCTCGGCTCAGGCCCATTAACTCCCGATGGCCACGGTAGAAGCGTGCCTAAGACCAATAGCATTACTACCGATCGCAGGGGCTAAGCCTACATGTACGGCTCCCCATGTTTGCTTGTATTGTGAACCCCATGGGGAAGATCGAATAGTCTAACCGCTTCCAGAGTCTCATTGGTCAAGTAGACATGTCGTTGTGAAGAATTATGGCAAACACCCTCTGAGAAGGCTGGAATTCCCCATCTTCTACCTCCCCCACAATTCCGAGCTGATCATCGCGTCAACCGGAACGAGGGGCCGGTCGGCCTGCGCAGTGTCCACCACCTAAACCACCCAAAGAACCTCCCGAAACGCTTCCGCGAGTCATTCAATCTCCTTGTTCTTTCTGGGCCGTGCCGTCTCTACACGTTTCGGAAACGCCAAAGTACTCCTCATAACGACGCGCTTCGGCATCTCAACCTACCCAGCCGAACCCTCATCTCCAGCTCCCGAACAACCCAGTCAGTCAGCAGCCAGTAAGCGTACCAGTCTAGCCAGGCCAGTGGAGAATACTCAGGTATCGGCTATGTGAGGAATTTCCACACACCTCACAGGCAACGCGCGGCAATGTCATCATATACGAACCCCGTACCCACTCCCGCGGCGGCTGCCGAGCCCTCGTCCGTTGTCGTCGAGTCTTCCGAGGGCACTTCGGGGGCGGCGGGCTCAGTAGCCAAGAGGCGACGTATCAACTTCGCCTGCAACTACTGCCGCAACCGGAAGACGCGCTGCGATGAGCAGAAGCCGTCGTGCCGGGCCTGCATCAACGCCGGCATCGAGTGCGTTACGACGGACCGCCGAAGGCCCGGCGTCGAGGTCCAGCGCCGGGAGACGAAGCGCCGGCTGTCTCGGGCGTCCAGCGCGTCCCTGACGCATTCGCTGACGGCTGTCGCGTCTCCACACTCACCTCGAGAGGAGGTTGAGAGCTCCGAGCTGCCGCCGCCGCCGGCACTGCCGGACAGCCGCACCAAGACTTCGCCGTCGATAGAGCTGCTCTACAGCCGTGACCGGACAACTTCGGTTGCGGCTCCTAAACTCGTCACGGTTCCCAAGGATGCTGCCGTCACCATCATTCCGGAAGATGAGGAGCCTCCCGTCTGCCAGGCTCCGCCCAAGTACCAAGGAAAGTTACCTGTAGTACGCCCCAGCCGCGGCAACAACTCGGTCGAGATCCTCGGCGACTGGTTGGACCTTGCTGCGCGTCGGCTAGGGATCCAACAGAGGCGCGGCATGCCAACACGCATAGACAGGCCGCCGGCTTACCGCATTCTGTCGTCTGAACCCTGCCCGTTTCCTCCCAAAGAAATTGCCCGCGAGCTTGCTGCCCGCTACCTCGAAGGTATCAATCTGGTCTATCCCCTCTTCACCCCAGACCGTCTCATGCGAGACATTGACACAGCCGTGGAACTCGGCCCAATAAACTTCGCAGAGGCACGGGGGCTAGCGGCCTTGGTCTCGGTCTACCTCGTCATGTCTATAGCGTTTGCTTCCGCGGCACTATCGGAACCGACACTGGATCCAGGGGACTATGTAATATACTGCAAAACTCTCATTGGCCACCTTGTCACCGTCAACGGCGTCGAGACTGTCAGATCCTTGGCGCTTCTTTCATTGTGTCTTCACTGCTATGATGAGTGCGCTGGGGCTTGGAACATTCTCACCACGGCGGTTTCTATTGCAACGTCGCTGGGCCTGCACAAACCTCGAACGTGCCGGGGCGGCAAAAATAACCGCCCTGACAAGAGGCCAGACTTTGCCAATGATGAAGAGCGCAAGGCATTTTGGCTCGGCATCTTTTCCTTTGAGAAGTTCTTGGCGTTCGAGTTGGGTCGCCTTTCTTCAATAGAGGATGAGGAATGCTATCCGCCTCATGTCGATATGCCCACGGGCAACGGCACTTCGTCGAAGGATAAGGCGTTTGCTGTGACCGTCGACCTTGCGAGGATACTCAGCGAAATTGGAAGAAAGGCTGTCATCGTCAGCCGGAAAGAAGACGGACTCCGAGACGGTGCACTACAAGCTATCATAGCTGAGAAGGTTGAGACCACAGGGGAGGCACAGCTGCTCTTGACCAGATGGGGTGAATCAGTGCCCGATGAGCTAAGGTACGTTTAACCGTGCCTCATGAATACCCATACGTGGGTAGGCGCAGGTGGAGCTGACGGTATTCGACTCCAGGCCGATATCAGACATCTTGATCGGCTCGAAACAGTGTCCCTTTGCATCGTTCATATCGATGCATTATAATAATGCGTAAGTGAGCTTCTCGTCCCATCGCATCAGATACATGTCACTAAAACGACGTATCACAGGCTCGTGATCCTCTCACGAAACAGTCTTCTAATCAGCGAAGAGGCAATTACTTCTGGCGCTGACTTGATCGCTAAAGGCAAACCGTGGGACTATATCATGCGAAACGGGCAAGGTCTCGCCGCCAACGCCGCACGGAAAGTGCTCAGGATAGTAGTCGAAGCGGTAGACTCCAAGTCGAATGCGATTCTACCGAATCTTCTTGCGCCACTCCACGCACTCACAACACTAGCCGTCTATGTCGTAACCCACCCGGACTCTCGCATCTCAACCATGGATCTACACGTAAGCAGCTGTTCCGCGAGAGTCTTGACCCTCTTGACGTCACTGACATGCCCATAGCTCATTCAAACGGCCTCAGACTCCATGAGAGAGATATACACAAGGCTTCGGGGCGACGGCTTACTGGACATGCTGCTACAAAAGATCGACTCATTCCTCCACAAAGGGCTACCGACGCCCGGATCGTCAGGGAACCGGACATCTACCCCTTTGCCATCCATAACTCCGAGATCCATGCCGGACGCCAGCCCTTGGCAGAACGCTGGGGAGACACCGACACCCAGATCGATAGATGCCCAGTGGTCTGGCAGTAACGACAGCCGCCGCAGGGAATCAGGTTGCAACGTGCCTGGTTCTACGATGCCTTTCTATAACCAAGGAAACGGGTTTCCCGGCGGAACGGAGTTTGGATTCGATTCGTTTGGCGAGATGCCCATGGTTGGCGACGAATGGTCGCCTAGTCTGTCTGATGGGATCGGATGGGACTGGGCGTGCTTCTCTCATCTTCTCACCGACCAGTACCAGCCACAGTGAAGCTTGTTCGTGGGATCTTCACCTAAAATCCTGTTTCAGCTTGCTACGACAGCACCGAATCTGCCTTGATCAGTGTCGAGACTCTATCCCTCTGCCGCGTCAAGGTGTCAAGGAGGTGCAAGGTTTGATGTCGCAACAGTATCTAAACACATTGCTGCTCGATAAGATATGACAGTATAGATAGAGTCTTTCTCTGGCTCTTTGCCGGGAGACACGAGTAAGGCGATCAGATGATAGATCCACCTTTGGTACGGGAGTCCGGAAGCGCTGGGAGCATCATTTCGCCAAGCACTTCGAGATCACCTCTGGTATCTTGAGCCTATTAAGTCCAAGAACGCTGCACGGAGCGGATCAGTGTAGGGTATGGCGGAGTCGATTGGTTAGAGGATGTTGTTGGGTATCATAACGTCTGGTGGAAACTAAAGGACCGGTAACAAGTTGCAGGATGAGCTCATTGCGACTACGACCCGGTTATAATGAGACCAATTAAGGCGGAGGCTTTAGAGGTTATTTCTTAGTAACCCTCGTCGGAGCCATGTGAATAGCTTCAACGAATCAAGCCATCAGTGTTCTTGCGAATCATGAGTCGTCGATTGCTAACGGACCATGTTTTTGAAAGTACCTAGTCGGCCCGCAGTTTCAACTTTACGCTTGAATAGATGCTTCGCGTTCCGGCCGCATTGAATGGTTACTTCCATCACCTTAAGCTAGATCATCATCACAATCTGTATCCACAGGGCATTGCCACATTGCACTCCTAAACCAACACACTGGCGCTGAGTCTCACTAGCGCCAAGCAAAGAACGGGATAGAATACGTGCTGAGCCACGGGTAACGTACGTAGGATTGGGTGCATAATACTTGGCAGATTACAACTCCTTAAATCACATTGGCTGCTACTATGTTAACAGCCCTACGGGAACGAGAACGATGATTTGGCACAGCGACCTGGAACAATCATAGCTGAGGAGAGCCTCATCTTCGTTCTCGTTTTCGTTGTCGAGTGGGTCCATGTCTGTGGCTCAGCAGTACTGCGCTGATCGTGCAGTTCCACTTTGTGAAACATCTAGAGCATTTGGAACAGGGTGCAGCCGACCCAGGTGAGAATTAGCCAGTAACTTATTCGTAATTTGAGATTATAGGGAGAATTGAAAAATTGAATCTCTATGTGTTATTCGTGAGGATGATATAAAGTCACGGCTGCCTCTAGCCAGTTTGAAAGAATTTAAATCTTGAATTACCGTTTGATCACAGTCCAAATTGAACCACAGACAACTCAGTCCCTCCTTTGCCCAGAAGAATCCTCTCTCAAACCAACTTAGACATGCATCTCTCTTTGCCAACCATCATCGGGGCTGCATCCGTCATTCAGGCTTTTCCTCACTTCGCCTACCCTAACACTCGCTTTGCTCTGCCGCCCAACAAGGGACTGAAGGGCTTGAAACATGGAAACGGATCTTGGGGTACTTTGAAGCCGAATCATTTCACTTGGAGTCCACCGGGTCCTAATGATCGTAAGCATCGTAATATGTCCCCGCGACTTTGGGAACGCAGCTAACCAGATGGGATGTAGAACGAGCCCCGTGCCCGGTCATGAACACCCTTTCCAACCATGGCTTTGTTCCCCACGATGGCCGAAATATCACCAAGGATCTCCTTATCAAGGCTCTCAACGATGCGCTGAACGTGCCCGAAGCTCAGGCCCTCGACATCTTCGAAACTGCCCTCGTCACTAATCCTACTCCTAATGCAACTGTGAGTCCTGACTGCTTCGCTTATCATCAAAGCTTCATGTTCTTGGCCAAAAGTGCTTTGGGCTAATCTTGTCATGGATAGTTCTTCGACTTGCAAATGCTGCATGCCCACAACGTCATCGAGCACGATGGTAGTCTTTCTCGCAAAGATGCCATCTTCGACTCCACCAACCCATTCGACGTGGGAACTTTCGACAACTTTGTGAGCTACTTTGGAGACGAGGAGGCGATTAATATCACGATGATCGCGAACGCCCGAGCTCGACACGCTTTTGATATGAGTCTCATGAATCCGACTTTCTCGATCACCGATGCCCAGATCCCAGTCATTGTTGGCGAGAACGCATTTTTGCTGGCAATCTTTGGCGACCCAGATGTCGCTATTGCCAACCGGACGTTCCTGGAGTACTTCTTCCGTAAGTTTACTGCAGGCAACGCGTCGTCATAAGAGCGAGGAAAGTTGACAAAATACAGGCAATGAGAGATTTCCCGTCGAGCTTGGCTGGTCCCCAAACGAAACACCTATCGACGAGCAACTCGGTCCCATCGTGCAGAGCATCATCGCCCAAAGCCCGGCGGACGTGCCGCTGACTTTTACGCCACAGAACGCAAGCCTGGCAAAGGCCAAGTAGAACATCCAGGATGAGAGAACCTAGGTAGGACATGTACATTTGTTTTACCGTCGTTTGAAACCAAACACGGATCTAAGTGGGATAAAGAGTCTCGGATGGTCAATGGAAGCTTTGGAGTGTCTATTAGAGTGTTTATTGGAATGTCTACGATTACTTGTGCATCCCGTCAGGTACAAGCGGATCATAAACTAAAGGCTGTTCGCTGGTTCCGCTCTCATCAATCATGCGGAGGCAAATTTCTCTTGGTAGTATCATCAGTTGTAGATTAAAGCTGATGATGGGAACCAGGCTCCATCGTGTGTGTATATAATACTACAGAGATCCGCGGGCAACTTTCAAATTCATGCCGACTTTCACTCACGACCTCGGAATGGTCTTCCATTTCCTGTGCCATATTGATAGGGTCTCGAAGAGCTTCGCAAACAGCTAGCAACCAAGCTCGTATGCAGTTGATATCAAGAGTTCTAATTGGGAAATCTCTTATTAACAGAAAATTATCTTTACCATTTGTCTAATCCAAAGAGGAAGGCCATAACGAGAACGAAGTCTGATTGGTGATTGTTCCCATTTATGTCTCCACTTCCCCAGACAACCCTTTGCGGGATCTAGGGCGGAACAAATGATGGATGTTATCCGCGATGGACCCAATTCTCCGCAGGTAGAAAGCTATCATGTAGATCTTATTTCGAGTTCATGAAGCTGCTGAATCCCTTCAGCTCCTATTCGAGTGCCTAACAAATAAGTTGCGGCGTGAGTATTCGACGATAGCCTTCGACTGCCCAGTCAGTGCCCATATAATCTCGCCAAGGCTCGGACTTACACACTCCGATACCGGCGCTCTTGCGAGAAGGGATTTTCACTTGACTCCATTGCAATTTAATAAAGGAATGTGTCAATCGAAAAAAGCGACCCCGCGAGGTGGGGAGAATTTTCATCTCTCTGGAAAAATGCTCGGCAGCTTGTAGGATGATCTGGGGAATTTTCATCAAGTATAATAATATGCTCATTCTACCATTCCCTTCCTAGTCTCTCCCACTCGTTGACCCCGTTCCCGTCGATTCGATACATCTTTGAGAGTGAGTGCTTACGTACAGGCACCGCCATGTCGGACACGAGGGAGATCAAGGATAGCTCGCTGGGCGAGGCACCGTCGAACACGGGCAAGGTTGTTGCCGCAGAGAACGCGATTGCCCACGATGCCGTTTTTGGTGAGATTACGGAAGATGGCCCCAACTACCGCAGTGTTTGTGACTCTCTTCTGGTGAATTCAGAGTCGTAGAATTGACTGTCATTAGGTTGGGTGGCTGGGTACTTCCGTCTTAATGATGAAAACTCAGATGGGTCTCGGCGTTCTATCCATCCCCTCTATCCTCGACACTATGGGAATCATTCCCGGAGTCATCCTTATCTGCGTAATTAGCGGCATCACTACGTGGTCCGATTTCATTGTCGGTACCTTCAAGCTCCGCCATCCAGAAGTCTACGGTGTTGATGATGCGGGAGAATTGATGTTTGGCTGGATTGGACGTGAAATCTTCGGCGCCGGTTTTTGCCTCTGTGAGTGCTCTCTAACAGCGGGTCGGTGTCAACATGAAATCACTAATATTTTCTCCCCTAGTCTTCACCTTCACCTCGGGATCCGCTATGCTGAGTATTTCTATCGCCTTGAATGCTCTTTCCATGCACGCAACCTGTACCGCCGTGTTTGTGGCAGTTGCAGCGATTATTGGCTTCGGCTTTTCTAGTATACGGACGCTGGGACGAATCAGTTGGCTGGCATGGATTGGTGTTACGAGTATCATCGTCGCCGGTAAGTCTAGCCCTTAATTCCACAAGTGTCTGCAGCATTTAATAGCTTCGCTAGTTCTCACCGTGACCATTGCGGTTGGCCTTCAGGATAGACCTGCGGCAGCACCGAAAGATCTCCCTTGGAAGTCAGATTTCAAGCTCGTGGGCTCGCCCACTTTCACAGAGGCCATCGCCGCCATCTCTGCACTCGTTTTCTCGTATGCAGGCACGCCGGCGTTCTTCTCCATTGTGGCTGAGATGCGCGAGCCGAAGCATTATACCCGAGCTCTCATTCTCTGCCAGTCTGTTGTCACGCTCGTCTACGTGGCTGTGGGCGCTGTTGTCTACTACTACTGTGGATCATATGTTTCTTCGCCCGCTCTCGGCTCTGCTGGGCCCAGTGTCAAGAAGGTCGCTTATGGACTTGGCCTTCCTGGCCTCATTGTCTCGGCCGCTGTCTTGCTTCATGTGAGTGTCTTGATTCCAAATAACGCTGAGTGTGTGCTGATCAAATTGTAGTTACCGAGCAAGCACGTATTCGTTCGAATTCTGAGAGGATCAAGACACCTGACAGCTAACACCTTCACTCACTGGGCAACCTGGATTGGCTGTACCTTCACTGTCGCTTTGGTGGCATATTTGGTCGCTAGCGGTATTCCCGTATTCAACAGTCTCATCTCTCTCATCGGTGCGCTTCTCGGCACATTGATCTGCTTCCAGCCGATGGGCTGTATGTGGTTCTACGACAACTGGGCGAAAGGGAAACAAAACCCCACCATAAGATGGTACGCTATGTGTGTGTGGGCCGCTTTTGTTGTGGTTTCGGGAACGTTCTTGATGGTCGCGGGGACTTACAGTTCTATCATGGGAATAATCGATGACTACAACGGCCCAAACCGCTCCTCTGCTTGGTCTTGCGCAGACAACTCGAACTCTGTGTAATGTTATGGGTCAGGGATCAGAGTAGCAATTAGCGGCAAGCTAGACTATCAGAAGAAACAGGTGGCACTTACTTCTACATACATGTACTGTCAGTGAATTTGTTCCTCGGCGTTGGGAGTGAGCCATGTATTCTGCATTATTCCTTGATCTCGACTTCAGAAGTTGTTAGAACAGAGATAGAACCCCCGAGACCCACCAGCCGGCTTGGAATACCCCGGTCAGACGATGGAGCCTTCCGATCTCCGATCTCTGTTGCCATCTATTTCTCCACTTGTCGAGAAGACTTTCTAGTTTGGGTTTCAACGTTGGAGCAATAGTCACAGAGACCATTGCGCCTGATTTCTCAAAGTAGCTTCTGCTCTTGCGGGCTTAAGCGGGATAGACAATAGTGAAGACCAAACTCTGCTTGAGTATTTACTAGGTAGGATAAGGTGCATGCAAAGTAAAGTACCATGTCAATCTTGAATAATCACAGAGATAGGGCGAATAAGGAGATAACTGTGCGCTCGCTTGGAACAGCAGCCGTCTGCGTTCAGGACCAAGCTGATTGATATTGTCTGGTGACCTGAGGCAAAAGAAGGCACTATGCTTGCTTCACGTTTAAGGTACTAGAGCACGGGCGTTGCAGCGCAGAAGAGATTCGAAACCATGGCATCTCAAGTTTTTCAATCTTAGTACATGGCATAGATAATGTCGTCGCATTGCGGAAAGCGGGACCTGTCGGGCCCCGGGGAATGAATCTGAGTGCGGTGCAGTTCCCGCGCGGGTGGAATCAGTCCCGCCCTGAAATGGGGTTATCACACCACCGCCTTGTCATTCACCTGAGATTTTTTATGAGGTCTTCAAACTACCTCGAAATAATTCCACTTACCTCAACGTGAGTGGTAGATGAGTATTTATGATGCTTCAGTAAGGCTAGAGGCATAAGAAAGCTGGAACATGGGGATCTCGACATGATTCGCTCACACACCAGACACAGAGACAGGATAGCATATAGCCCGCAGGGAGAGTGGGATGCCGAAATGTCTCGGCAATGGCACACAAAATTAGCTATCAGGATACGAGATCTGATGTGCAGGGCTAGAATCCTGTACACCTACTAAATATAGCTTTGGTGACCCCTGAGCTCTCTATCAAGCCAAAGATCCAATGACTGCGAATTGAGTCGACTACCAAGATAAAGAAGCGAGAACAAAGGCATTCCTTATCTACTGACAGATATATCTAGTAACCTATCCTCCTCATATAGTATTCAATAGTGGTCCTCGCAAAGTAAGATGAGTTGAGAGATCCAAATTTTGTCGGAAATGTAGCCTTTATTGATTGATTGTGAGTATCGTTTCAAGAGACAATATTTTCTGCCCATAAATTTGCAGCATAACGCTGATGTTGGTCATGTAGTCGAGACTGCGGCGTAAGTTTTTCCAGCTCTGTCAATCACCTGTATCCAAGAAACTAACATATGCCAAGTGAGCCTTCGGAAGCTTAGCTGCAATCCATGTACGGAGCAATCATCGGTGAACCCATTAAGCCATTTCTTTAATATCTATATGGGCTAGAAAAGGGGAGGAAAAGTCGCTTTCGACTTGAGATATCTTATCTTCTCTCTGCCCAACAGATACTTCGCTGACTGAGAGACTGCCGGCACATCACTCGGATTGTGGGGTCAACAAAGCGTCCCGCGCCGCGCCGCACAGGGGTGGGATACCGTGACGGGACTGGGCACACCCCGAGACGCGAAGCGCCATTGAGCGTTATCGTGGTGGGTTTGCCCTGCCCGCGCGGGGGCCTCGGGGGCCGGGATGGTGCCGATCGCCCGTATAACATTCGCTCCAAGGACGGTCTCGAAGCCATCAGTTTCCGAGCCTAGCCCTTCTGTGAGAGTTCTGTCAAACGAATGGACTCTGCTTCTTCTGACAGAACATGTCTTTATTCAATTAGGTTACGAGCACCAACCCCTGGCTCATCCCAGTCCCCAGGACCCTCACTCGACCACCCCTTATTCCCGCCCTCTGCCGAACAGTTATCGACCGACTTCAAAACACTCCCTTTTCCCCCGTTGTACGACCTCTGTGACGTGCACGGGCCACAATCTGACCACCTTTGGAACGCCTCTGTGTGGACAAGTCAGACCGGGGGCAACCTGGTGATCCCCGGAACTTACGATCAGATTTGGGCTGGTTTGAACCAGTAAGAGCTACTCGGAAAGTTCATCTGACAAACACACAACAATTCCAAGCCAGAACGAACACGGCAAAAGTCGATGAGCGCTCTCCAGAGTTCCTCCGTGTCATGACGACAATGGACCAAGATCCCGACCACGAGCCGGCGATCCGGAGTCTTGGCGGCCTGGATGTCATCGACTCGAATGGGGACCTCTACCTCTTTGTAGGAGAAGACGTTGAAGAAAAGCCCAAAAATTACTTTGTATGTTCCAAAGCGCTCGCAAGAGCCTCGACAGTCTTTCGAAAAATGCTCTATGGCGGCTTCGCTGAGTCGCGACCACATCAGATGGATGGCGTCGCGCGAGATTGGACTGTGGAACTCCCCGATGACCGGCAAGAGGCTTTGGAAATGCTACTCAATATTTCGCATGGGCGTTTTGAGCAGGTTCCTGAACAACTGGAACTCACGCGTCTCTACCAGTTCCTTGTGGTGACTGAAAAATATGACGCGACCAGCATCACGCGGCCATGGGCCCGCGGATGGATGGAGGCAGTCAAGACGAGCATGCAGAATCCGCTGCTTCTCGGTGTTGCTTATGAACTTGGGGACGCCCAAATGTTCAATAACATGGCAATGAAGATTGCTACTGAGTGTCTGGTTGACGACGATGGAGACTTGGTGTTTGGTTATAGCGGAGTGAACCGTGAAACTTACTCATACAAACTTGGCCACATCGAATATCTATTCCCGTCTGGCTTTGTCGGTACGTATTTCGATAACCTCCTGACTTTTAGAGACTCCGCAATGAAACCAACTGAATCATGGTCTAGATGATGCTACGACAATACGCAAGACTCTTCTCACCACCATGCTGGAACCCTACGCTAGCCTCTACATGACGCTTAAACACGGAGACCGATGCATGTCATCGCCGCAAGATCCCACGGGTGGCAAAAGATGTGACAGCATCCTATTAGGGTCCCTCATCCGATCTTTCGCGGCGCAGACAATCGATCTCACGGCCCCGGATCCCGTCGCAGCATACCGCGGGAGCGCCTCGGCGCTTCAGTCAGTTCTGCTCAAGCTCGAGCTGTTCACGGTCCACTCGGGCTTCTCGCATCCGTCGTCCACATCATTCAGCTTCGGGCAGACGACACATCCGCGGTTCGGCTTCACTTTGAGCGCTTGCGAGCATGTCTTGCAGTCCGGACTGCGAGAGGGTGTAGAAAGGTCGCTGATGCTTAGGGGGGATATGAGCTTTGTTCAGCCAAAGCACAAGGAATATTTGCAAAAGCAGGCGCAAAAGACGGGTCTTTCTAAGTAGCATTAATAATTTTTATGACCAAACCACCTTTTGAGCATAAGTTTGTTTTGGGGGTCTTGTGGCCGCCGTCGAGACCAACCCTCACCTGTCTAGTAGACCAAATTTTCGTCTGCATGCGTGATGACTTTTGTCCCTTGCTCAATTGACCATTTCACGCTCCAGGCGCATGTTCCCTTTCCTCTTGACATAAGATTATGTCCCTACCGTCAACACTGCAAGCTATGCCCTCCGGGACCTTTGTGGATTCGCGGGCTCGAGTATTCGCTCTCCTGGCTTTTGCCCATATCACGCGTCCGTTTCACCGATGAATCGGAATGTAAGGCCTCTGACCTCTTCATCCCTTCCCCCTCCCAACATGAATTCAATCACACATCGGACCACCTCATAGTTTTCAGTCTCGTATAACTGCAGTGCATCCTCCTGATCTTTGTTCGTAACAAGAAAAGCGTGTCCATCTACGCAGCTCTTCTCGTAGGCAGACGCATCCACCAAAGCCTTGTACTTACCGCCCCAGGTTGCAAGACAACCACCGCGACCCTTTGCAGCTCGGTCAACTGGCTCAATGCCGGGAAGATAGATTAGGACAGTAGGATCCGCACGTGTGCTGTAGAAGGAGTACCAGCCTGGGTATGCTGCTCAATATGCGATGTCTAGGTTTGCGGGGGGCCGCAAGAATACTCGTAAGACTCCTCGCCGTGGCCCTGAGATTCCTTCTCCGCGCGAACCATGTCCCAGTGGAATTCAGAGACTTGAACTCGTGCAAAGTTAGATCGATGATCCTGGATCTTCTGTGTGGCATTAGTGAATGTGTAGCCGAAGCGGGACTGCCACCTCTTGATGTCGTCGCAGTCCGGTTCAGTGTTGTCCTGTTGTGTCATAGCCATGGACTCAAGCTCGTGAAGAAGGCCCATGTTGTCTGCTCGCGTAGGGCCGTTTCTCAAGACGGGGTGACTCTGCTGGTAAAAGGGTGTAGTGAGACTTTAGATCAGCGGGACTGTAAGATGCTTGGTGAAAATTTGCAGCTCCGCATGTATGCAAATAGGCGAGGATGGCTACTTTATTTACAGAAAATTCTATCGAGGGCTTCGTAGATACCTCTGTTATGTGGGTAGACAAAACGGTTGATAATGGGCTGCGTAACTAACATGGCTTACACCAAGACTTGGATACAACATGTACCATGATGGGCAAACCAACACTAGTAGAACCAGTACCCTCGCAACTCTAATCTCTGCCAAGTTTTACATGTCGTTACTAACTTTCTTCTTGAATAGAATGACAAAGTCGGTTCGGATATCGTACTTAGTACTTACCACTTAAGGTACTTTAGAAATCGTAACTATCGGGACACCGCTAATTTCGACGTTGCTGATAAGACTGTTCTCTTCTAGCATAGGCGTCTGACTGCAATACGACGATTATGCTTTTGATTCGGCGGCATGATTGCACAACGGATGACATGAAACGATCCTCCATCGATAACATCAGTCATCTTCCTATCAACCAAGCTCATCACTGCCACGATACTTTCCAGCAAATGGTCAAGCGCCGCACTGTCCTGTCGGTCACCACTTCCTATCTTGAACTTTACAACTTCATCCTCCTCTTGTTACCTAGTGCACTCTGCCTGTGGAATGGAATAAGCGCACCTTGGCATGGAGCTCAACAAGCTTGACACGCAGTGCTATGTGTTCGACATAAAGTCGGTGCCATGCTCGGTTCTCCGGAGGTATCGAGCATTGTTGATCGATTCATGAAATTAGAGGAGAAGATGTAGGACAACATGACATGGAATAAGCGCGCTCCTGTTCCGCTTTTTTGAAGTAAATCAGTGGCAGATTGTAGCAATTTACAACCGATCCGGCACCGTTTCCGTGAGAATTCGCAAGCAGAGCAGCTAAGCCCCCGGTTTCTCTCAATATGAGCGTCCAGCCACGACAGTTCTAGGAAAGAAGAAGTAATAGCAGGATTATCATCGGGAGTTGGAAACAAACCCTCCTGGATCCCTCGTTTTGATTGACGTTAAATGCCTCTCACTACAAGCCCGAAGGTAACGAGCTATCGCTTTGAATGGCAAAAGTTGGTTTGACAAAAGCAAATACCAGTTAGGACGGTAAGTCACCACCTCGTAACTCCAATTTTCCTCTGGCGGGTGGCCTCCCGAGGCTCACTTACACGAGGCCCGATACGGCTGGAGAAGCAAGGAGGTCTGAGTGCCAAGAGAAAATCGCTCATACACAAAAGGCCAACACAGACAGGGTCGGATTCGGTGGTGATGGGCAACCATTACGTTAAAATTACCTACAAGCTACTGCTTCCCCATGGGAAGCGGGCGCAAAAAGACCCAAATAATCTCAACGTTGTTCCAATCGGCCGCCAAGCCTGCGGAATGCACTCGCATCCGAAGGGCCTGATCTGGCAACCCGGATATGAATGCACGCAGCAACAGGAAGTTCTTAATCCCTCAACCGAGACATCACATGGCTTTCAAGCCGGTGAGATTACCCTTGGGCAATGTTGACACAAAACAAGGTGCGATTGATGATTCGCGAGGGCTATTTGAAGGACTTAAAAACCGCAGGACAGCAAGACTCTCGTTCGTGTCTGCTTGAAATCTGTTCATCCTGATATCCTCCCGCCATTCAACTTCCTCCTCAATACATTCCTCATGACATTATCCGCATGAGCCCGACAAGCATTCCAGATGCCGCTGTCACAGATGCCTCAACCACCTGGGTGCCCGAGAAGCAGCCAGGTGCCGTCGCCGCAGCGCTCTGTGTTGCATTCGCAATCCTAGTCGGCCTCGTGCTCTACCTCTTTGGATGGAAGAAGATTAGGAAGTTGAGGCACCCTCCGCCGCCTCCCCCACCTCCTTCTCTGCATCTAATAACGACGGGCAATCACCGCAGTCGACATGATCCCCCCGATCCATCGACTTTGAGCCCATACAGCTTGCCCCGGCTACCGAGAAAAGCCCGGATGCCCAAGCTGACCCAGGGAAAGCTCGAGTCGTTAGCAGAGGTTGCCGAGGCCAAGATCTGTCCTGTTTGCCTGGATGACTTTGTCGCTGGAAGTGTTGTTGGGCAGTTGCCGTGCGGCCATGTCTTTTGCTCAGCTTGCATCGAGCTTTGGCTCCTTAAGCACTCTTACACATGTCCTCTGTGGTACGTCTCCTTACCTGACACGATGCAGCATGCGCGACTACTAACCTATTCTGATTGACTCTGGTTCAGCCGCTTCAATCTTGAAGCAGGCGAAGTGCACGCCAAACCACGATAAAAGGGCGTGTAGTGATGGATCACGAGGCCGCATACAAGGGACACTAATTCATCCAAGCGTGCGAAATATATTGGTAGTATGGTAAATTGCTCTCTCTGAAGCCTTGCAACTGCCATGGCTGTAACTCATGCTGTAACTGTTGGACTCGGCGTCTCATCATACCCATATGATGCCACGAAGAGCGCTAGGCGTCGATAGGTACTGCAAGATAACGTTTCATGCGACAGTCCTGGAGGCATACTGTTAGGGAAGGATCGTCGGTGTTTGCCCCTTTATGTCAGTGGGTGATGGAGGTATAACAGTCGACGTAGCTGCAGTCTCTCTTGAAAGCCTTCAATCTAAGTATGGCTGCCTGACTTGTTGTTCCATTCAGCTCAGTGAACATAGTACTCTATGAATAAACATGCCAATTGTGAGTGTAGTAAATCTTGAGCAACAAAAGCATGCTCCAAAAATACACCAATCTTGAGCCACATGCTGACGCACCCCGATGGCCAGCAATGAGACCTTCTGTCTTGAGTGGCGCAGCCTTCCGCGAACCACAAAAACGCCTCAACACCACTCTCCCTTTGTCAACTTGAAGCCTCAAAGCAGTACCAATCATTCGAGATACGGAGCACCAGTGTTAAATAAAGCATTGAAATATAGCTTGCTACAGTGTTCATAGATGACCTAATTTTGAGTATGTACTTAGGATCAAGAGTGTCTTAATCTATCGTCGGCTGATTACCGAATGACCCTCGTGACCAAGCTTGCCCACGTGATGGTAACCAAACCAGCTGCTTTTCGTTGTGCTACATCAGTTCAAAAGTGATCGATTTGTCACACGTGAAGCCCCCAAAACAGGACATATCTTGATCGACCCGCGCAATCTATGTCAACGTGAGACTCTTTCCCGACGCTGTGCCACTCTCAACGAGCTGCATCTAGGTACTGTGGCCCGTCACCTGTTGCTCATTATCCCTGGCATGTTCAATGTTCGGAAATCGATCTCCAGGTGTCCCGGGTGATTGGCTCACCGGGCGACTTGTATCAAAGATTCAAGGGTAGAATGTTGCCTTCTTCATTTTTCGACCCAAACCAGAAGAAGTGATGGCAACATCTATTAGCCGCTCCAAACAACCTAAATAAACATTACGGCAGTTTGTAATTCAGAATCAACCTCACTTCCAGCTAGATCCACTCTCAAGTCTTGCTTGGCCTGGCCGTCCGGCTATTATTCGTCGACTTGAACGCCTCACCAACTGACAGTTGAGGGAGCCGCATGTACGCTTAGACTCATCCCTACGTCGACAATGTATATTACTTACTCTGACAATTTCAAAGTTGAGGATCGAGCCTGACATCGCCAGCGCACTCTTTCGCACGATGAACGAAGAGAGAATGTCTGTAATCGTACCATCACTAGATTCCAGAGAAACAATAGAGAGCGAGGCCACACTGGTTTCTGTCTCTGAGAGAATTCAGCCAGCCACGAGAAATGAGCATTATTGTCATCATGATCATCCTGGTTTCACCATACACACTCTAGGGCTGTTCGATTTTGCAAGAATTATGCTCAGGTTGACACTGTTCTGGATGAGTTTACTGCTTCTCCCCCTTTGCGGCTGGAACGCTGCAAGCTCCACACTTTTTCTCGTCATGCGAGGAGTCCCGCTGGGTCGACAAGTGGAAGTGTTTCTTCGTTTATCTTATAATATGGCCAAGATAGAACTCAGTACCGCCGGACTATACAGATGATATGTTGTCGGGTGGCAATTCTTGTACAAGTCCGGTGGCGAAATGTTGGAAATCGGCCACGATGATGGAGACAATCACAAATAAGCAACTGGATACACCTGTCGCTAAGCAGCACATGGCACCCTGATTACATGCAATATCTTGAGGTGAAGCTTGCCAGAATGAAAGAGAATATATACATGAAAAGTTACGAGTAAGTACACGAAGTGAGTTGCTTGTGATTACAGTGTTGGGCAACGCCTGAGTACCCGAAGAATAATATAAAGAAGAATATCCCCAGCCACGGGATTGAACGTCTCAAATACTTCATTGAAGGTATTCGCCGACAAGAGCCAAGTCGATAATGGCCGCCAGTCCATACAAGGCAGCATCATTCGTAGAGATCCACGACGCCTCATCGATGGGCGCCAACACATCACTGCCGTTGAAATGAACAGTGCTCCAAGGAGCACTTTGCTTCAATCCATCAGTGTTGAAGAACTCATTCCAAGCACGAGCCGCGAGAGTCGCGTTGTTCGTGCGGTGAGCGGCGTACGCAGTGAGACGAGAGTGCCCCTGCTTGAGACTCGTGTTACCGAATCCCTTGCCGTACCGCGCCGTCTGCTCGGCGGCGCTGGCACTGTAGTAGTAGCTGTAGTCGTACCATGCCTGTTCGAAGCCCTCGGGGACATCGGCGCCGGCATGCTCAATGAACTCGGCGACGACTTCCATGAGGCCAAAGACGGCAGACAAATGGGACACGGCGACGGTCCCGTTGTTGTTGGGATCCGCGGGAGGGGGCCCGAGAGTGCCGTCAGCGAGGTTGTACAGGCCAGAACCCGTAACGAAGCCGTTCTTCAGCTTGGCGATGCTAGCAGCAGTGTTGGTGAGCTTCGTGCGCGCCTCTTCCCAGCGGGAGCCGCGGCGCTCCCACTCGAGAAGCCACGAGGCAGCGAGGGAGGACCAATCCGTGCCAAGACCGACGGCGACGGAGGAGTTGGGCGTCGGTACCCAGCCGTCGGTACGAACCTTGCGGTTGGGGTCGAGAACGCCGTAAGTCTTGTCCGTGTCGAGGATCTCCTCAATCAGCTCGCCGGTGCGCTCGTCGCCGCCCGTGACGAAAAAGAAGACCTTGCGGTACTGCGGCGTCGAAATGCGTGCCTGTTTTGCGCTGTCGCCCCAGTGCTGAACGCCGTGGCGGGTTCCGAGACCCTTGTACTTGCCGAGGTGGTAGACGTCGACTTCGCCTGTGTGGCGGACCTGGGCCTCGGCGAAGCGGAAGACGTCCTCACGGCCGGTGCGGAGGAAGTAGTTCCAGAAGAAGAGATCGGGGGAGAGCTCCGAGTTATCCCAGGCGTAGCCACCGATATCATAGCGCCACTGATGCCTGTCCGTGTCGTAGGCGTGGATGAAGTCGCCGTGGTCCCAGAAGCCGTACCACTTGCGCTGCTCGACCTGGCCCTCGTAGAACTTGAAGAGAAAGTCAAGATGCTTCTCGATATCGGCGGCGAGGCCTGAGGGCGACTCGGCCGGAGGCGCCCAGTAGTTGCCAATAGCCTTGGTCTCGGCGAGGTATTCGGGCTCACCAAAAATGACGGGCGGGTTGTTGGTGTGGTCGGTAAGGTCGGCGAGGAGGGTACGGTTGGGGGTCTGGTCGAAGCCGTAGAGGAAGATCTCATTGGTTCGGGCGACACCGTAGGGGTTGTTGAAGCCGGGCTCGTAGTCTTCGTAGGTGATTTCGAGAGCGTCGAGCTGCTCTGCGTAGGTCTCCTGGCCGAGACCGTCGTGGTAGGGGCGGATATCCAGAGCGGGTGCTGAGGGGCTGTAGATCCAGATTGTAATCTCGCCCTTGTCCGTAGCGGCGTTGGTGATGTCGATGCCAGTCGGGTAACGCTTCCAGAAGTTGCGCAGGCCAACGGCGAGACCACCCTTGGTGGCACCGCCGAGGTACGCAAGACCGCCCGAGCGAGTGCCGCCGGGGATGTTGACCCAACTCTGACCAGCCTTGGTGCGCTTCTTCAAGGTGAAACCGTCAGGAGAGAGCTGGGTCAAGCTGAAGTCGCTCCAAGTCGGAATCCACTTGAGTCTGGTTGTGACTCTCTGATCCCATGTCGCAGGATCGGCAAGCTCCACGCCCTCGAATTGATCGTTGCGGATGTCTACGCCAGGATCTCTGCGAAGGCCGGTGATGCCCTGCACGGCTTCGCTCAGGAGACCGCCGTCGATGCCGGAGATTCTGACGTGGCGGTTATACTGCTCTTCGCCCTCGAGGGGGACCTCAAAGCGAATGCCGAGTCCAGAGATGAAGTCCTCTTCGGCGTTGCCATCGTAGATGACGGTGTGTACGATGCGAACAGCCTCGGAGTTGTGGTAGAGGTAGAAGCGGAGGATGAAGGGAAGCCAGTCATCGTGGCCACTGTCGCCGGAGTGCTTGCCACGGACGGTGACGAGGGCACGAGCAGTGTTTTCCTTGCTGACAGTGACCTCTTCGATGTTGCTCTCGAAGTTGAAGTAGTTGATGGCAGATTGGCCCTTCAACTCCGCCTGGTCCTCCACGCCGGACTGAGAGTGCAGCACAAGCTTTCCGTTCTGACCGATAGTCTTGCCAGAGGCGGTCTTGATCTCGCCGACGACGACATTACCCGACTTGGGGAAGGTGATGGCGAGCTTGCCAGTATCGACACTGACGGCATCAGATGAGTCGGCGACGGTCAGGCCGCTAGACTGCTGCCGTCTGGCACGGGAGAAGCGCGCCGTCGAGTTGGACGACGAGGATGCGCTGACTGTGTACTCGTCCAGAATCGTATCCGACTCGGGGATCGCATGACCGGTCCATTTGATGGAGCCATCGGACCAGTATGCTGTCACCCAGGTCTGCAGCAAGCCGCCACCTGAGAGGGAGAACTCGGTCGAGTTGGGAAAGTACTTGCTGCGGGCCCAGGGCAGGCCGAATGTCGTACCGGCGGTGTAAGAGGGAGTGCTGCCGAGCCATTTGACGGTGGCGCTGTCGCTGGTGCTGTTGTCGAAGCGTTGCGCGCTGGCCGGGCCCAGTAGGCCGGCGAGAGCAACGAGACCAAGAGCGAGCCGAGACATTCTTAGAAGAACAAAGAGTGAGGAACTCAAGACGTCTGACCGTGCACCGTTACAACAGCTGCGAAAAGAAACGCGGCGACGGTGTTGCTCTAATAAGAGCCGAAGGCTTCTTCGGTACAACGGAAAGCGAAAGAAAATGTCATCAAGTCAACCGCGTGATCCGCCGAGTCTTGGCTCGCAGCACAGCCTGTGGATGGCATCATCCGACGCGATGATCTCGAGTCGTGGGAGTGGACGGATGAATGCCTTCAGACTTGGCCCGACGCGATCTCAGCGCGCATGATGCCATCCGTTCGCTCCATCTTTCTTGGGGAGTCGCCCGCAATCGAGGGGGATGCTACGCTGCTGGTGGCCGCTAGACCTGCAGGTTAGATGAGGCCAAGGGACTCCCCTCTTTATCTCGACTCGGGTCACGGAGCGTCATACCTTCAAGAGAGTAGGAGAGCCATATGAAGCTCTGTGCCAATCCAGCTTCTAGGAGCTGCAGAGGTGCAGAGAGGAAGGGGAAGCTCTCAACTTCGGTGCAATTGCACCGATGGCGGAGGAAAGGAACCGGGGAAAGGGTCCAACTTGGAGATGTCTAGGGGCACTTTGTCACCTCCCAGACGGGGCAATTGGGCCGGGATGCAGGTCCCGCACATATTCCACCGAGAGACCGAAGAATTCTAAGACTTTTTTCCCAAGGAATTCTCAACTGCGATCCAATGGGAAAGAGCCGAGGAGGATGCGGGGTAAACGGCTTCTGGTGCTTAATGGTGAAAGAGGTTGAAGAAGCGAGATTAAACTTTTGGATATGCATGTTCGCAAGGTGTTGAATGCAGGGGAAGCTCGTTGTGGGAGGAAGCTAAGGTTATCGAGCTTTATTGCAACCTCGAGCACGCAATATTGTCATCTCATGTCGAATGGAGTCATTGGGACCGCTGTAAACGTTCTCCTGAGCCTATTCGGTTTAGAATCAGCAGGAAGACATGACTTACCAAGTCGCAGCAAGATTCGCGACCTGACGGTTACAGGGACATGGACGCAGGAACGTACCAGACTGCCGGAAAGAGACATGGGGCCGGAATGGCACCGAAATCACCTCGAACTGCGCGGAGACTGCACAAACTTTCGTGATGTAGGCTTGTCTTTGGCTTATTGAAGCCATATGTTGAGATCGCCTCTTATCAAAGACGACGTGTTCAATTTCGAAGAGGTGATCAGATTCTACAGCTGTGATTGAAATTCATCATCTCATCTCCGTCGTCACATGCCCCGCCATCCACCAGCTCGCCTACATCAGTGGCAGCACAGGCGGATCGAGTCAAACCGCGACACCCAGAATAATATTGTCAACATTTGAAGAAAACTACAAGATCATAATTAGCTGTCCCACTGTCACCGATCCGGCTACCGAGACATACCGCGTGTAGCCAACTATCCTTGCATGCGCCGCTGTCACCATCGGTTTGACCCGCCCGTCCATGCCGCGCCTTCGGCTTTCGGGATGACACCTTCATATTTGCAGGTTGACGCAAGGATATGATGATAGGAAAACATGTATTAGTACTCCAGACCCATGGACAGACATTTGAACACGGCGGACTGCTCGGAGTTGGTCCAGTCACACAGGAGCAGGATGAATCTCCGTTGGTTTTCGAGGCCTACATGAATTGTACATGAAATTGATCAAGACGATTACGACCCACCTTATGCTTTGCTTAAGGTAAAGGAAAGCAGATCTAGCTGGTATATTGGAATGTAAAATGAGATATTCGAGGCACATGGGGAAGAAGCTTTCCATGAACCCAGGGGGAGATCTCAAAGCCTATCATATGGCCGATGATCAAACTTCCCGAACTTTCTCCCATTTTACACATTACCTAACACTCTTGCATGTCTATCATCGAAGCAAGTCAACTCCAGAACCCGGTCTATGGCATCGCAGAGCTCTCCTCTTGCAGAATAGGAGACTCAAAATCGCCAAGCACTGACCTTCAAGAAATTGACTCTGGTCCGTTGTCCACCACGTCGTACTCCCAAGAGAACACCTAAATGATGATATTGGATTCCCCAGGGGAAAGGGAAAGGGATAATACAAATCTTAGCCACGTTAGTTCCGTGAAGGACATGCCGACGAGCATAGAGACCTCGGACCTAACAGCGACTCACACCAACGTCAGCGTTTTGATAAGGGCGTTATCGAGGGAGAAAGTTGGTTCTCCGCTGGCTTTCCTCTGATTCACTACAAGTACAGTCTTGACGTGGAAGTAAGCAATAACCCAGGTTTCGTGGTGTAGTTGGTTATCACGTCAGTCTAACACACTGAAGGTCTCCGGTTCAAGTCCGGGCGAAATCATTTCCTTTTGCTTTTCGAGGCAATTCATTTCACGATACCATTTCTACTATTCTTTGATGTTGTTAGAGCAATTCCAGATGCCGTTGGGGAAATTTCTTTCAAAGTTCGGCCACCCGCGATTTAGACTTTTGTCAGTTTTTGTTGGAGTCAACGCTCGACAAGCCATTCCCGTGCCACGCCATCCTGATGCTCAGCGTTGGAGAAATTGGTAACAAATTCAGCTATTTTTTTGGTATTGCTAATTTAATTAACTAGGTACTAAGGTTCCGATGCAATCAATCCACGCTCGTATTTTTCCAAACACAACCGATCCCTGTGGTTCTCATGTCCCTCGTCCTCATACCGTCGTCTGTTTCGCGTCTTCACCAACGTCAGCTGTTTCCAGCTGGCCGCTGGCAGCCGCTGCTTGTGCGACTTCATTGCCAGTCGTCTGAGCTTCTGGGTCCGATTGACCCTCAACCTTTCCATCGTCAGCGACCCCCACTTCAGGCTTCTTGTCGCTCTCAACCTTTGCAGCCTCCTTCGTATCAGTCGCCGGCGCCTGAGACGGTGTCGACTTTCTAAAGATGTTGACGCTCGGCAGCGACCAGCCCTTCTTCTTGCCGTCATCGGCGACCGGATCGGCAGGTTGAGATTCGAGCTGGCCGGTGGCTGCTGCCGCTTGGGCAGTCTCGTTCCCGACAGTTTCGCTCGTAGTCTCTTGAGCTTCGTTCTTGTTGTCGGCGGCATCCGAATCAGTCTTGACAACATCGCCTTCCGCCTTGGCGACGTCCCCAGTGGCATCGGTCGTCTTGTCAGCCTCTGGCTTCTCCCCGTCAGCAAGCGCTTGCGAGGGTGTTGACTTTCTGAAGATGTTGACGCTCGGCAGCGATGCCTGGCCCAGAGAAGAAACGGAGGCGGGGACCTTTGGCATATTTGGCATGTTCAGCATGTTCGGCATGTTCGGCATATTGGGCATACCTGGCATACTGGGCATACCAGGAAGCCATCCCTTGACGCCTGTACCTGTTGACTGCGCGATGCGGAAGAGGTGCTGCATGTACGTCCGCTTCTCCTCGGTCGTCATGTTCTCCGGATTGATATCGCCGACCAAGTCTCCCTCACCATCGGCGGGGAGTGGCACCAGCGAGGCGGCGGCGGCGATGTCAATAGGTGACTCGTCGGGCATTTCGTCGTCTGTCGACTTTGAGGCTTCCTTCTCGTCGAACTTTTCGTCAATCTTGTCGTCCGACTTTTCTGCTGGTGCTTCGGTGTTGGAAATAGCCTTCTCCAAAGTTTCCTCGACCTCGGCGTCCTCTGCAACCTCTTCGGGCGGCGTTTCGCGGAATTTCGCATCGTCGACAACCGGCTCCTCGCTCTTGAACCACTCAATCACCAAGTCGGCCGCCTGCTCCGTCATCTTCTCGTACCCCTTGTGCTTCCCAGGCTGAAACATGGCCATGTGCGCCGCCACCTCGTCGTCGACCTCTGGCAGAACCTGTCTCGAGAAGAGCGACGAAGCAGGATGACTCTCCTCCGGCACGGCGCAGAACGTCCGCTCGGGGACAAAGTAGCCACCCTGCCAGTACCCATTCTCGCCCAGCGACGCGTAAAAGTCGTGGATGCCGACACCCTTGAGCGCGCCCATCCGCTCAAGGCGACGGTTGAGTTCCTTCTGCTTCATGAGCGCGCCGACGAAGGTGAAGTGGTCCGAGAGCCAGGCAAAGGACTGGCCGACGTTGCCGCGGTTGATATATGCCAGCCCCTGGCCCAGGGCATCGACGCTCTGCTGGTAACCCTCCTTGACGGAGTTCTTGTTGAGACCCTTGAGGCTCTTCATGATGGCCTCGCGGTTGACGTAGGCGGCGACGCCTCCTGCTGCGATGGCGCCCACTGTGCCTGTTCTCACGGCGACGAGCTGCCACGTCTTCCACCCTGGGTTGCGAGTGGCCGTAGTTGTCACGGCCGAGGTTGCGGCGCGGCGGGTTCCTAGGCGAGCGAGGGTGGAGGGTGCGGCCGCCGAGAGGGCCGTCATGACGTTGAAGACGCTGCTGACTTTTTGGTAGTTTGAAAAGCCGCCGTATACGAACATGGAGCGGGCGAGGCCGTTGTAGGGGGTATCAAAGGTGAGAATGCCCTGGATGAGGGGGAAGATTGGGTCGTCTTCTGACGGGTTAGACTGCGCCCGCTCGTTGATGGCGAGGAAGAGTGAATCTGCGGCGACGAATCCTCTAAGGTGTGTTAGCCTTTGGTTATCTTCAAAGGACGGAGGCTTTCGATGGTGCCTACCCCATAGAATGAGCGACGAGAACGACTCCGACTTCTCTGTCTTTTGGCGGCCAGGGCTTCTCAACGCTGGCCTTTCTTACATCCATAACCCTCTCCTTTAGCCTACATGGTGTTAGGATGCTTCAAGGTAATGATCACTGCGGGTGATAAGTAGACTGACCATGCGAGAAACGCCTCGGTGGCCTGCGCCAGCTCGCCTTTGGTCTCATACTGAGGGTACACGATGGACTCGACGCGATGATCCGGGAGCTGCTTGGTGACTGACCGCTTCAGGTCCTACATGACAAGCATCAGTATGGAAGAAATGAGCGCGTGGTATCGAGGTAGTCTCACATCTGGAAAGTCGTGAAACGTGTCTTCATTCCCCTTGTGAAATTTGTACTTGTTAGCTGCTTGCTGTGCCGGCGCATCGATGGCTTGCTGTTGTTGACTACTCACTTTGAAGCCATGGATGAAACACAGAAGCAGTGTCCGAGGCATGATGGAGTACTACCCGAAATAATCTAGGTACGGTAGTAGGGAGTCAGGAAAGGATTAGATACGACTGGGTATTTCGAAAAGGAATTATTTGGCAGGAACGTAGAAGAGTAATGCTAGGTATTTCGTAGGTAAAGGGTATCATGAAGAAGAAGACATCCGTAGCAGCCAAGAAAAGACGGCCGGTGCTCATGGAGTATATCCCGCATCTTCCCTCCCCCTCCCTCCCGCCTTCTGCATTTCTCTTTCCCTCTCTTACACCACCAAGCAGACGAATGAACCAACCAGACACTCCATGCAGAGCAGTGACGATTGACTGAGCGGTTCGTGCATGTGCAACTGCCTTCCCTCCAGTTCAATTTGTTCCAGGTTTTTCCCAGCCACACCTTCTCCTCTGCGAAGCCGCGGAAGTTGCGTGGGCGCGTGGCGAGTGCATCGTCGCCGCGGGCCAATGGCACGGGTCGCAACTTCGGCCAAGACGTCACCAACGACGTCATGTTGCGGCACCTCGAACTTTTGGCGTCGGGGCCTTCATCTCACTCTTCACTTGTGGTTCACTCACGCACTTACTCACACGCTCATTTACAATCTCTCAGCCACTCACTCACATCGCCCTTTCAGCTCAGGTCTGGGCCCTCTTCTCTCACCCACATCAACCCCTCCATCCCAGTCCATGTCAACACCTCTACTGTCAAATCAAAACCCTATGATAGATACTCACCTTCCACCTTCTGCAAGGTGCGGCACGTCACATCAAAAGTCAAATAGATGAGCCCGATGCAGATCTGTACAACAGAGTTCCTTTCGGGTGGGATTGGCTGGTCCTCCTCCACGTGCGATCCAAGATCTTCAGCTCACAATCGCATCGATGCATGAACCCCCGGTCTGTCAAGTTGAAGGATTTCCAAGATTTGCTCGCATGTAATTATTTCCTTCTAATAAATTCCAGGAAGCTGGTTCTTTGATCCACTTTCGTGGCCCGAGCGAGTGACATTCCCCCTCTTATTCTCATCCCACCTCATCATCCCTCTCACTTCGCTGGCGTGGTCTTGTTCTTCAAGTACCCAAACGACAACGTCGGATCAAACTTGCCAATCACGGTCTCGTTCGCCGCTGAGCCATAATCCCATACCGTATAAAAGTTCTTCAAGAATGGCGTCCCAATCAACACGAACCCAGACTGCGCGCCATCCTCAAAAGGAGGCCAGCACGCGTCATCCCGGTACGCAAACCCTGGTCGCGCCAACTGATCGCCCGGGATCTCAATCGTCTGCGGGTAGCGGTAGTCACCGAAAGTAAACTTGAACGACCACGACGAATTGAACTCGCTGCAGAGCGGGATGTGCTCGCCCTTGAGGATCTTTGTGTAGTTCATCCCGATGGACTCGTACACGGCCAGGTTCTGCTTCGTCGGCAGCGTAATGGACCCGGCACCCGTGTCAAAGACCACACGCGCCTGATCGAAATCCGTCTGCGTCTCGATAACGCTGCCATTGCTCGTCGTCCGTGTGCCGTTGACCTTGAGTATCGTCGACCGCCAGACGTCGTAGGTGCCGTCCACGCGGGTAATCGGGATCGTGACGAGGTCGCCTTCAACATACTCGTCCTCGCGGGAGCCGCCGATCGTCAGGACGCCGTCGCCGGGAACGCCGCTCGTGTTCTTGGCCTCGGTGCCGTAGTAGATGCCAAACTTGGCCGCGTCGAGGCGGTTCTCCGCCATGAGGGTCTCGACGACGGTGTTGGCACCGCCGTCGATGATGGAGCTGAAGCCGAGGCCCATGAAGCCGTCGGCGGCG